CCAAATGGTTTGCACCACGTAGCTTCTCGCTCATATATCCCTTATATGAAAAATCAGTCCCAGTTAGAAAATTAAATTCTCTCGAGTCATAATCTAAGCACCTCCAGGGACGATGACATATTTCTCTGCCACAGACAAACACCTTAGGGGGAGAGAGAAGGGAAATTATTAAAAGTTTTGCTTATTGCATTTTATTTCTGGCTCTAGGGTGAGGCTAAAGTGATGGATTCATATGTAAGAAGGAAGGTAGTTATCAGAAAACCAGCATTCACAGTTGAGCTATAGAAAACACTGTGATTCTTATAACTCATTAGGATGTATGAAAAACGTAATGAATACATTGAGAACCAGCAGCGGTCCCAGCTTGATGATGTTGAATCGTCTTCTGTTGTCATTTTGACATATTTAGAATGCATATATATATATATATATATGATTTATTCTTATTTACATTTGAGGAGAGAAATAAATCTCAGAGACACACACTTCAACAAAGGAATGAGCACAGGTGTAGACTTCAATATCTGTGTCATTTCACCCCCACCGCAATGAAAAAACAAAACAAAACCTGAAAGTAGCAGAGGAGTTACTGAGGAAGAGAGCCACGGGAACGTCACTCAGAAAAGGAATGCCTCCCAAAAAGTGTCTGTTTTTTAACCCCAAAATACAAGAATGAATTATAAGTTAATGCAATTCTTCAAACACAGTTATAACCACCGCATGCAAACACACATATTTAAAGACACACAGTGTTGTGGTCTCAGTCAGCAGCTCTGCAGCATCTTCTGTGACACCTTAGATACAGGCAACAGCAGATTTATCTGACAGAGCAAAACGAGAGATCTGATATATTGTCTCAAAAAGCTGTTTGTTTGTTTTTCTTTATTATAAAATGCTGCTGTGGGCCTTTATTGTTTTCATCCAACCTGATTAGCATAGATGATATGTACATGATCTTAAAAATGAGGGGTTGATATATCAAAATGAATGAATTTATCAGTGACATAGAGGTAGCCTGATATCAGACACCCTGACTCTCATGTCTGAAAGTGCACAAGCACAGAAGACCGTGTCTAGCTTAGCAAGGATACCACTAAATGAGAAAAGCTGAGAATGATTATTTGAAAGCAAGACGGAAAGCCGCTGAGGTCCCAGCATAGGTTGAAGTGTGAGCTGCAGCCTGATGATTGTGTTTTCCTTTACATAAATAAACTAATGCAGAAAATGCACAAATTGGAGCATGAAAGTGTAAGGAAAATAAGTGTACGATGCTCCAAATTTCAGGGGAAAGGACACCACCCCAATGTGTCCTCCCTGTGAACCCCAAGCCAACAGGAGTGAGAATGAAGCCCACCTCTGATTAAGCACACTTCACTAAGTAAGGACATAAAGTTCGTATGGTACATACACACATTCTTAGATGAATCTTTTACGTTTTCTCTGTGCACAATCGCCTGCTCACGCTAGAGAAATTCTATCTGCCAGCAGATATAATAAATTGTTTTCAATCGCAGACATTTTCCAGTGCCGGCCAGGAACACTGTTCTGGCTCACCAGGAACATATAGAGAGAGCCCAGGCTCTGCAGGGACCCAGCTGGACTTAAATGTGGCTCCAGTTGCTGAGACTGTGTCTGTCAAGGTCCCTAAATCCAAATTCAGCCTTTTGAAAAATTGCTCAATCTCACAGCCTCAATCAGCTCTGAATATAATCTTGACCCCACGTTCACCACCATCATCAACAAAGCACTACGGGCCTCTTCCAGTAACCCCCGTCACCTCATTCAAATTAATACATTCTTCTGTAAAAGCTTAATCTAAAAAGAAATCCACAGTTACTTAAAATGAGGACTGTGTGCACAGATGGGAACAATAAAATCATAGCTTTGATGAGGTCGCTGAATGAGGCATTTCTTTGAAAATGCTGACAGTATATTTAATAAAGTGTCAGGTTTTTTGATGAATGATAGCAGCTTCTCCGAGCTTGTTTGGTGATTTTATTACGGATTAAAAGCTCCACCTAAGTCTCAGTCGGAAGAGGAGAGTGTCTCATGCACGTTTCTGCAGCTACTCTGATAATAATTCATTGGAGATTCATTTTAGATGAATCGAACATTTATCAGTGTGATCAGAATACCTATATGTTAACAGTGTTTTACCATTTATATAGAGAGATGAAAAACAGAAAGATGGCCCGTGCACGCTGCTGAGAACCTTCGGCTGTGCTCAGCAGAAGCAAGGTTGAGGGTTATAACTGTAGCCTGTTTTATTTAAATACGCATTTAACCATTTTGTTAACCCCTCACCCTATCCTATACAATGCCTATCCTAGCCTTCACTGGCTGAGAATCATGGTGCTCTCTGAATAGGGTTTCCATCACAGGGCTAACATCCACACCCATGGCCAGTCTTAGAATCACCAGTCAAACATACATATCTTTGGACTGTGAGGAACGTTCAAATGCTCATCTCTAAAATGCAGTGATACTGACTCCTTTCAGGGCAATGCAGTGGTGTAGTAGTTAATGCTGTTGCCTAATGTCATTTTCTGGCCTAAAATCTGTGTGGTATACCTAAATTACATATAGTGCATGAATGAATCCTGGCATAAATGTGTGTATGAAGAGCTTTGAGTGGTCAGTAAGATTTTTTTTAAAGTGCTATATAAATTCCAGTCCATTTCTTTGCCAGGTTGCGGCCTTTGTAAAATAATAGGTGATTATGAGCCAATTATTAAAGAAAGAATAATTCTATTCAATTCAGGTTTGTTTATAATGTACCAATTCTCAACAATTACCTTCTTAAGATCTTATAATTTTAGAGGGAAAACAATTGGACTGTGAGCTAACACTTGGCGACAGTGAAAAGGAAAAACTCCCTTTTAACAGGAAGAGGCTCAGGGAGGGGCAGACATCTCCAAAAGCAGTTTTGGGATGAGGGAAGAGAAGAGAAAGGAGAGCAGAAAGAAAAGAAAGAAAGAAAGAAACGTAGTTGCATGCAGTAAAATAAACAAGTGTTAAATACAGCCCATTATTCATAACTGACTTATTAACTGTGCTAACTTGGTATAAGAGCTAACACTTGGACTAAATCATAACTTTACAGCTACATTTTAGTTGCAACCTTCCGCTGGCATTCTCATGAAAGCGAACAACATTGTTAATACCTGTTAGTTCTTTTTTTAATGTTATTTGAGATTATCATACGAAGTATATGAGTTCACACAATGCATCTGCACTATATTAAATGTGCAATTTACCTCAGTTAGGTGATTAGCAACCACACAAAGGTTTGATGATTTATTCATTGGAAAATGTGATATTATCCTAAAATGTCCATGAATAGAAATTATATCAACATAATTAAATACCCTATTTGAGGCACTTTGATTGCTGATAAAACTTTTGAAACACCAGAACACTAAAGGTTTTGAAATTGCGTGAGACAACAAAAGTAAACAGATTCAGTGTTGCTGAAAATGATGCAATGTCCCAGTCCCATCACTCGCCTAAGGCCAAAATCGCTATACCCTCACAGACGTTGTGGGTGTCTGCTCTGAATTTATTACAGGTTCAGTATGGTGCAAAAAGTAGGAAGAGGACAGCACTGTGCCATTTGAGCCACAATTACAATAACTTATTAATAAATAAATAATAATTCCTGTTTGTGACATTAGACATTTTAACAAAAGTCAGGAAAACCAGGAAAAACACTATCCAGCTGTTTAGCTGGATACAAACAAGTGTGCCATAAATAAACACACAGTGAGCAGTCAGATGCTGTCACTTCCATCCATGATTGGTTATTGTAGATTTTATCTGGGGACAATTTTACTATAAAATGTATGGAGACACCCTAAGAAAGCTCTTAAATGCTCCAGAAACTGGTCCAAAATGCCTTCTATACTAGTTCAGCCTGGATGCTGAATGTTGTGGGTTGCTAGCACTATCTACTGGACAAACTGGGTAAATGACTGGTAAAGAAATAAAAGAGGAGTCTTTGTAAATTAGTAAAATGTGACACATTTGTCTCTATTTTCACAGCAAAGCTAGTAATATAAATAATAGATAGTTTTCATCAAATATGAAAAATAAAAGATACGTAATGAACAATAAACGGGGATTAAAAAAAGAACAGAATATACAAATGTGATTGATTAGGGACGGAAGAGCTCAGCGTCAGAGTCAAATCAAATCAAATGGGTAAAGATGGAAGCTAAATGATTTTTCATTATGAATTCAGAAATACCAAAGAGGTGTTGTTGTGGTGAGTTCTAAGTTGTGGGACCAGAGCACCTGGAAGCAGTTTTCCAAGCTCAGTATGAACTTGAGGAGTTTGCAGACATACTCAAAGGCCCGAGTCTGACGTGATCCAGAGCACCGGTCTATCTCAGAAGCAAACTGCCAACATAAAATCCGCTTAAGCTGCTGTCAGTTAGCGCTAAAACTTCACCTTTACACCGCTGTGTTTTGCAGTATGGTGTGTTAAGTGTGTCCACTACCTTGTTAATTATCTAATGAAGCTCAGTCTCACTGCTGGATGTCCAGCACTGCCGCAGGACAGAAACTGAACACTGCTTTGAAAAAACACATGATATGAACAAGGTTGCCTATTTTCCACAGCATGACATACTGTTTATGATCAACTCTTATTGGGGCTCAGAAAGCTTCAGCTAACAGTTCTGTTTATTGTGCTACCAAGAAATGGCTCCAGTCAGAGGTTGTCCCTCAGTCTCTGTGGAGGACAGCTGGATGATGGATCCCATCAAGTGCAACTGTCAGTCACAAACACAACTGTCCTTCCCGAGCCAGAGCTATGTCCTGTTGTTATTCTGGGGGCTCAGTAATGGGGTATGTGTGTTTGGCTATTATCCCTAAATCTCATGAACTCAAACAATGGTGGCAGTGAGAGAATAGACCTCTTTACCTGTGTCTCTGCCTAAACAAGGCATGGAGTATTTATAGCCCATAAGTGTGCGCCATTATAGATGGGAGAGGGGTGAGTATATCAGCCCCTTGTTTTGGGGGCTGCTCCATCATAAAGCAGCGAGGATACTGCTTGGTCCAAATCCAGCTAACACTGAAACATGGTGAGTGGATACAGATCTCATTGTTATTGTCGTTAACATTGTTTAAAATAAGCACCAGACTGTGAGGAGACAGTCTGTTTCTGCTGTGTGATTAATGTGTTTACTGTAGATATCTGTATAACAGTCCGTCAAAGTCTGCTCTTTTCAAACAACAGATAACGCACCAATGTACTCCATGTCAATATGTTGTGAGGCCTTTTTTTCCTTTAAATAATCAATCGGACAATTCAAGTTGTCCTATTGATGAGATATTTGTCTACTCGACTTGAAGACATTTTCATCAAAATGACAACAAATTAACTGTCTCGGAGAGGAGAAGGAGGAGGCGGTAAGGAAAGCCTTGACCTTAAAAAATTTTTTTTTTTACTTGCAACTTTTTCCTCCGTGTTTGCAATAAAATGGAGCAATGACATTTAAAACACACACAACATTTAAGGAGAGGAAATGGGAGGGATGAAGAGGAGAGAGGTGAGAGAAAGGCAGCAACAAAACAGAAAAGAGACTTAGAAGAGCAGCCAACCGGGTTGGAAAGAGCAAAACAAAGGGAGTGCGGAGCAGACAGCAGAGAAACACGAGCAACAGGTGCAGGCTATGAAGAGGTCAGTGGTTATTCGCGTAATATTTGGCCCAATAAAGTTTCCGCTGGTCCAACAGTGATGTGCATTGGGCAACAGCAAGAAATAGCAAACTCTGCCTCGTTGCCCACGAGTACATGAATCCTCTTAAAACAAAATAAATAATTAAATAAATGTATCTGAGTGCCAGAGGTCCCTTCCATGAGATATACAAGAGCTAATCCACAACAAGGGTTAGACAGCAGCTGTCGAGAGGACCCTGAATCCGAGCAACATGATGTCACTGCGCTGCATCCCCCTTACGGTGTTTTTCACAGTTCCTTGGCAGTCATGTAAATAGCTCAACATAATCCTTGCCTCTGAGGGATTTCTGATCAAACAGGGCTCAGTGTACTCTCCTGTCATCACACACACCCTATAGAATAATCCCTCATGTGATCCTGGGACTATGAGAGTGCAGGCAGTGGACCACACCCTCCCTAGGCTTACCCTGTGTGCTCCCAAAACTGGAGGCTCGAATAAATATTTCCATAACAAACTGACAGTGTTTGTAATCCTCACTAATGAAATGTGTGCCCCCCAGTATAAACCTTTCCTCTTGTGCAATAGATGCATACCCCCCCACTAAGACACACGCACTTAGTGAGAGTGAGCTGATCGTCGGCTCATTACCACGTGTGACAGTAAAACCGATAATGAGTAAGGCTGTACGGAAGAACCAGGTGATGATCGTGTGTCATTGCTATTGGATCTAATTAAGAGTGTCATCGTTAAACCCCCCACAGGCACCCAAGAAAGCAAAGAAGAGAGCGGAGGGAGCCAGCTCCAATGTGTTCTCCATGTTCGAACAGGCCCAGATCCAGGAGTTCAAAGAAGTCGGTACTCTGCCAAAGGCTTTCTTTCACATTGAATTTGAGCAGTTTACTCACTGCGATGTCTGCTCACTCTGTATACTCCCGCAGGCGTTCACTATCATGGACCAAAACAGAGATGGCTTCATTGACAAGAACGACCTCAGGGACACCTTTGCAGCTTTAGGTAAACTCACTGTGTGTCACGTTCCTGTTGTGATGGTTTCACATGAATACATTACACAAGTCCAGCAAAAAACAAAAGAAACCTTAGGCATTCTCAGGTTCCAGCTTCTCACATGTAAGAATTTCATTGTCTCAGCAAGTAGAACTCACCTTGAGTTCTGGGATGTATAATTGCCATTTTTAAAATACCGTCTGAACAAACAGATAAGTGATAAATTGAGCTGTAGTAGTCATGAGTTTAATCATTAGCTGACTTTTTCCCCCAACCTAAGACTTATTAATATTATACATAAACAAGCAAACCTATTAAACATATTACAACACAGACTAAACAAGAAAAGCACAGCAAACAAACATGATCAAATTTACATTAAAAAGAATATTTGTATCTTTTCAAATAACACATGGTTCACAACAAACTCCCGGTCTTCCACATATTTCAAAGAGTCTCAAAACCTTTCCAAGTTTTTTTTTATTTTAATACATATGTTTTCCTTCCTAGGGTTTACTGTCAACATATTTACTGCATACCTGGAAATATCTCCAACTGTTTCTACTAAATGTATTAAACCTGCAACTGAGTCATTTTGCAATAAACAATATTATGTCCTCTGGATATAATGATAGCTATTTCCTGAACTAGTTATTCTCGATGTTTGTTGTGTGATTTATTCCATTTTCCATTTCTATTCCAATACTTTGATTAGATAGAGTCATTCAAAAGAGTTTTATCAAAAGCCATACCTCATTTTTCTTTATTATTGTTCATTTAGTTTTTATTTTGTATAAGAAGAACCTTAACTTGCTGCAACAAATCTGTTCTAGTCTTTATCGACCTGGGATTCAATTTTGTTTAATATTTTTGGAAAATGTTGTGTATTATATTGAGTACTATCCATCAAGCTTGCTGACTTCATGTTCTACATTTGTTTAAATGTTCCAGTGGTTTTAGAATATATTTAAAGGACCAAGTGTTGAATGTGCCTTGAAAAAAATCTCAATAGATTTTTTTTAAATACAAAGCTGGAAAACTGTTGTTATTCCATATTTCCAGCAACTGCATCCCCTTCCAATTCCTTCTTTGGTCATTTTGGGCTGGATGGCATGGTCAACCCATCCAATAGTTCCGTTGAGCTTTTGTGGATTTGTTTTAATCTCTTTATTGGACTATTTTCAATAAATAATATATCAGTTTAAAAAATGAGCATTAATTGCAACCTCTGTTTCACCATATATTCCATGTTTTTCAGGCCGTTTAAATGTCAAACAAGAAGAGATTGATGACATGCTGAAGGAGGCACCAGGGCCCATTAATTTCACTGTCTTTCTCACCATGTTTGGAGAGAAACTAAAAGGTAAACGAAGATGCCGTTATATGACGTTCAAAAAATGAAATCATTTTTCTTCAATGCAGAACTGCCACTTTTCATCTACAGGTGCTGACCCAGAGGAGACTATCCTTAATGCTTTTAAAGTCTTTGACCCTGAGGGAAAAGGAACACTAAAGAAAGAGTTGTGAGTAATAGTCTGGTTCTTAAGCGACTCGTGACATTTGCGTCTCGTTTGCTCATCATCGCTGCTCGTCTCCACAGTGTGACAGAGATGCTGACGACCCAGGCTGACAGATTCTCTGCTGAAGAGGTTAGTGCTCCACCTCTGACGATGTAACAGATAGTTGAGCCTTGAGTTTTTATAAATGCAGATACGCTCTGTAACCTTTCTTTTTTACTTCGTACCCAAAGATGGAGCAGATGTTTCAGGCATTCCCTCCAGATGTAGCAGGGAACCTGGACTACAAGAACCTCGTCTATGTCATCACACACGGTGAAGAGAAAGACCAGGAATAATCACATCCTCCCTCACTGGGTCGTATTTGTGCTGAGATATGATCACATATGACAGCAAAAACAGAAAGCAAAAACGTAAATAACTTCAGCTTCAGTTTTTGAATATGCACATGGATCAATGTGTTCATTCATTCATTCATGATTATAACATGTATATGTATGTATATTATTTGAATATATATGAGTAATCTCTTCAAAGGTGAAATTAAGAGTTTGACCTCGGATGTTTTTGACAAATCAATAAAGAAAGATTCAACCTCACCGAGATGCATTGAAGAAGCGAATCTCAGTGTATTTCATCTTCCATAAGTAGTGATATTTAATTATCTGTATATAGTGATTTTATTTCAGTGCTCACTGTTGATCAGTAGAAGAACACTGGAACCCAGAAGCTCCAAGTCCCATTTGTTCAATTTTGCCTTAAAGAGTACTTTAAGTGTATGAATATAAGGGAAAGGATTGCTAGGTAGACAGTGTGTCCTTTAAAGGCTCTATGTGGCTACTCCACCATAGCTCACCTTCTGTTAATGGTAAAGCTAATCTGTAATTACACTTACTGTATACCCCAGTATCATTTACTGTACTTATGTATCTCTTTATTTTACATGTAAATCAATTTCTTGATTGTCTAGAAATTGGTGCATCTCTAAGGGTTTTATTGGTTAACTGATATTCAAATTGAAGCAAAAGTGTTCATCATACTGAATTATTTCCTAATCAGATAACACAGAACAGGAACTGCGTATAATTAATATCCGGTATGGTGAAAAAAACCTAATTTCATTATACTTTACTAGGGAAATGGAAAATAAGTGGAGTAATTTATTGAAACGAGATCAAACATACATGGAAATACACTATATAAGCCAAAAGTTTTGAAATTTCTAATGAACTTCAAAGTCAATATTTGATATCAATACTTTTATTCTTCACAACAGGCTGAACTTTTTTAGGGATGTTTTCTTAGCATTTCTTTAAGCAGTCTTCAGGAGTAGTTCTGCAGGCTTTTTGAAGGACAATCAAAACTCTTCTTTGGATGTTGGCTGCCTGTTATTCTGGTTTCTGTCGAGATGATCCCACACTGCTTCGATAATGTTGAGGACTTGGCGACTGAGGAGGCCAAACCATAGTGTGTGTTTTTCTATCCAGATATACTTTGTACTGTGTTGGCAGTGTGTTTGGTATAATTTTCATGTTCTCCAAACGACATGACGTTCAGGTATTGTGTCAGGTGGCTATACCAAAGTGGCTCAACGTGTCATGTGTAGAAACAACACTGATTCATTTATTGAGTTAGGGCCCTTTTGTGGGTTAAGTAGCTTACAAAGCACGCAAATTTTAAAAAAAATATCCCTCTGAAAATTGTCAGGTACAAGGACTGGACTGAAAATGAGTGAAAAATCAACAAATATCCAAAGAAAAAACATTAAAGGGCTTCAGAAGGTCTGAAGCTGTCCCCATCCAGCACAGTAGGGGGCAGTAGTGTAGCAGCTACCAGCACAAGCCGCTGGCTTAGCAGTACAAGGTGCGGCAAAGGAAAAACAGAAACGGGACACCGTCGCTAGCAACCGTTTGTGTTGGTTGACGCTTATTTTTATAGTCCCCGTCCCTTTTTTTTTAACAAAACGAAACAATTGATGTTGGCATTTTTAAAATCGCGATCTTTAAGTAGCGTATTAGGCTGTCAAAAGTGTCGGCTAGTGGCTAAACGGTATCAGGGTCGCGGCAACATCTTCTACCCTCAGCCGGAAAATAGACGAAGCTAACATAAGCAAGCTAATGCTAGGATAGCTAGCGGGCTAGCTTTCACAAGTGTGTCAACGCGAAGACCTAGATTTGACTGGAGCGATTTTTTCGTAACACCGACGCTTGCAATGGCTGATGTTGACAAGCTCAACATAGATAGTATCATCCAGCGGCTTTTAGAAGGTAAGTAAATACAAAAATTTCTACGAAACACTTGTTTTATTATTTAAATGTTATGGTAAATGCTAATAGTCGATAGCTAGCTTTAGCTCGTGTTCATCTTGTTGCAATAACTAGTAACAATAATCAGAAATATTTGCAAGATAACTTAATATTTTAATTAATGTCGGCTACCACCTTTATGTAATGCGTCTCTTGACTCAGAATATTGGTGTGTCTGAAGGGTGTGAAACGACATGTCACGTACACTGTGTTCTCATACACAAACACCGCGAATTCCGTCACGGCATATGGCTTCTACACTCACCGTTTGTCCCAATTGGCGTCCGGGCAGAGATGCCATGCCCGGGTTAGCTGGAATAGTGTTTAGGTGTTATTCTTACTGATTTTTGTCTTCTTATTCCAGTCAGAGGAGCAAAACCTGGCAAGAATGTTCAGCTGCAGGAGAACGAGATTCGTGGATTATGCCTCAAGTCCAGGGAGATCTTCCTCAGTCAACCCATTCTCCTGGAGCTGGAGGCCCCCCTCAAGATTTGTGGTAAGAAAAGCTATGCACTTACTTACCAGAAAGATTGACTCAGCAATTGACTGATAGTATGTACTGACGTATGATAAGTGGTGTATGACTCAATAGCAATGTGTATAATTCAGCTTGGTATTTGCCCTGCAGGTGACATCCATGGGCAATACTATGACCTGCTAAGGCTGTTTGAGTATGGGGGCTTCCCTCCTGAGAGCAACTACCTGTTTCTGGGGGACTACGTGGACAGGGGGAAGCAGTCACTGGAGACCATCTGTCTTCTACTGGCCTACAAAATCAAATACCCAGAAAACTTCTTCCTGTTGAGGGGAAACCATGAGTGTGCTTCAATCAACAGAATATATGGTTTTTATGATGAGTGTGAGTATTGTTGAATGACTAGAAATGTCCAACCTGGGGCCTCTTGTGTCCATTAAGGGTACCTGTCAGACTCTCTGTTGCGTTATCTTTTGCTGGTTAAACTGTTTGGAGGAAGTTGTTGGTATGAGATAATGGAAAAAAATGAAGTATAATTTCTTGTCTTACTGTGTTAGGTAAAAGAAGGTACAACATCAAACTCTGGAAGACCTTCACAGATTGTTTTAACTGCCTCCCAATTGCCGCCATTGTTGATGAGAAGATCTTTTGCTGCCATGGCGGTGGGTTATAATGCGCAGAATGAATGTTTTGGCACAAAACCCTACTATCAACTCTAAAGTGTTTTGGTTGTATGCATGATGTTAGAAGTAGTGTACATTTGATATCAGCGTTTATTATTTGTCCTTGAGAAACGCTGTTTTTGCAGTTTGTCACCTGACATGGAGCTCACCCAGTTCCAATCGGTGCTGACCTCAGTATCAGTGTGTTTATTTGTACTTTTACTTTACTGTTCCATTTAGGACTGTCCCCTGACCTTCAGTCCATGGAGCAGATCAGACGCATCATGCGTCCCACTGACGTGCCTGACCAGGGTCTGCTGTGCGATTTACTTTGGTCTGATCCAGACAAGGATGTGTTGGGCTGGGGGGAGAACGACAGGGGTGTGTCATTTACCTTTGGCTCAGAGGTGGTAGCCAAGTTCCTGCACAAGCATGACCTGGACCTGATCTGTCGTGCCCATCAGGTAATCACCTCCGTCATCACAAACAGAAACGTCACTGTGGGAGGTGGGAGGTGGCCGTGTACTGGCCAGAGGCAAGATACACTTGGTACAGGACATGATATACTAGCACATGTGGTGTGTGTAGTGGACAGTGGGTTTTGACCGTTTTGGCTTGCGTTTGCATCAAAGTAAAATTATTTGCGCATTTCCAGAGGTTGTTACGTGTTCAACTAAAGCTTTACTTTAAAAAAAATATCTAGAGACTTAAAGAATATGGAGAGAAATTGATGTTAGAATAGTCACAAATTACTTTAATGCTGCCACTTAATGCCAGTGCAAAGACAAGAGAGCTCAGCTTTCAATGCAGTCTTGTGTAATTTTGTGGAAAAGATGTTTGTCAGAATAGACAGTAGCTTGTAGTAGTAGAATATAATGTGTAGCTTATTAATGTAACAATAGAGTTTGGTCAGTATGACAACTAATAAGGAAAAACACTGTTGAGGCATGTTGAGTCTGCAATTAAGACAAGTGATTGTGAACGTAAATACACAAGTTTTACTTGAAACTCCTGACCAGAGGCCAGACTAGACTTTAATAGTGACCAGTAAACCTTTGCCACTAATTTACTTGATGATGTAGCTGCTGATAGACGTATCAAGATGAATTGTGAAGTGTATAGTGTCTAATCAGATTAATCTGTGTGCTGCGGTACTTTGTGCAGCTCTCTGTGCTTTGTCATAAGCCTCTCCTACCAGACAAGCGCAGACAGATGCAGCACACCCTTCATTTGCTCCACAAACATAAAATTGAATCAGTCTGCACCGTTAGCCTTTGGCCAAAAGCTGTTATCAACATTCAGTATGGCTAGTCATCGACTGATTGCATTGTTATCTACCACAAGTAAGCAGCCTACATTGTCAAGAGAGTAACGGCAAGCTCAGAATAAAGTAGTTACTGCTGGTAACTCCGGTTCGGCAGGTACATGTTTTATTGCCAGAGTTTTTGATCGGTTTGTCTTTGATGGGTTGCCTTCCAGTGTCTGCAGTTGTTGCCAAAGTGTTGAATAACAACTTTTCCTGCAGAATTTCTGGGCTTAAAACCATCTAAGGGAACATGCATGTGCATTTGTAGAGGTGCAGAAATCTAGTTTCCTCTCAAACCAATTAGATACATAAAGGTTATTTTGGAGTGGTAGGCCAGTAAGGCCTAATAATAGATGCCTTTAACAATAAATGGAATCTTTTTTGTTATTTGTTGGAGTGCTTGAGTTAAAGCTTCAAGTCTTCATTTCACTTACACCCTGCTGGTTTTGATTTTGAACTCCACTCAGACTCCACTTACAAACCTGACAATATGTTTTGAGTTAAAGATCCTGTGAACCATAACCCATTAGGTTAGACTGCTAGACTGCGCTTTAGATCTGACCACCTTCATGTCTACTTGCATGATTTAGTTGAGGCTACTCCTAGTTTATTATTTTGAAAATGTGTAAACATGTCATTCCAATTTGTATTTTCTCACTGGCAGGTTGTCGAGGATGGCTATGAATTTTTCGCAAAGAGGCAGCTCGTCACTTTGTTTTCAGCGCCTAACTATTGTGGGGAGTTTGACAACGCTGGTGCCATGATGAGCGTGGATGAGACTCTCATGTGCTCTTTTCAGGTACAGTACCTTTTGTTTATTTTAAGCATTGCGTTTTCGTGGCAGTGATCTAATCTA